GGAACTTCCTTACTCTTTTCCATAGTGACTGTACCAATTTATATTCCCACCAATAGTGTAAGAGGTATCCCTTTTTTCCACACCCTCTCTAGCATTTATTGTTTGTAGGTTTTTTGATAATGGCCATTATGACCAGTGTGAGGTGGTACCTTATTGTAGTTTTGATTTGCATTTCTCTAATAATCAGTGATGTTGAGCATCTCTTCATGTGCTTTTTTGGTCATCTATATGTCTTCTTTGGAGAAATGTCTACTTAGATCTTTAGCCCTTATTTTGATTGAATTAATTGCTTTTTTGATATTGAGCTGCATGAGCTTTTTGTATATATTGGAGATTAATCTCTTGTTGGTCACTTTGCAAATACTTTTCCCATTCTGTTGGTTGTCTTTTCATATTTCATTTTAAAAAATAACATGTTTATTTTACTCTTTTCTGTTATTAAAGTAATACATGTTCATGGTAGAAAGTTTGTCTAGGATGTTTTCCACTAGTTCTCTAGATACCAACTAGTCATCCAACAATTCAATTCAATTCTTATGCTAATTTATAGAATTATCACAGAACTCATAGAACTCAGTCCCACAAGACTGCCCTCACTCAGACTTCAGTTGAAAGTTCTAGGTCCCCAGGTTACCTGCCCTTCTGTCCAACTTGACTACAAATTTAGGATTTCCCACACCACCCTCCCTTCAGGTTTGATCCTTTGCTAGAATGACTCACAGAACTTAGGAAAACACTTTACATACTATTACTGGTTTATCATAAAGAACACAACTCAGGAATAGCCAAATGGAAGAGGTACATAGGGCAAGCTATGGGGAGGGGAGTGCAAAGCTTCCATGCCCTCTCTAGGCAAACCACCCTCTCAACAGCTTGATGTCATCACCAGACACTCTCTGAATCTTACAGTTCAAAAGCATTATAGAGCTCAATCTCCAGTTCCCTTCCTGGAGGTTGGTGGGTGACGTTGAAAGTTCCAGTCCTCTAATCACTTGGTGTTTCTGGTGACCAACCCATCCTTAGGCTATTTAGGGGCTGCAACCTAAGTTACTTCAGTAGCATAAACTCAGGTGTTATTGAAAGGGGCTTGTTATGAATAACAAAAGACATTCTTATCACTCAGGGAATTCCAAGGGTTTTAGGAACTTCAAATAGATGGGAAACAATGGAAACAGTGAGAGAATTTATTTGGGGGGGCTCCAAAATCACTGCAGATGGTGACTGCAGCCATGAAATTAAAAGACGCTTGCTCCTTGAAAGAAAAGTTATGACCAACCTAGACTGCCTACTAAAAAACAGAGACGTTACTTTGCCAACAAAGGTCCATCTAGTCAAAGCTATGGTTTTCCAATAGTCATGTACAGATGTGATAGTTGGACTATAAAGAAAGCTGAGCACTGAAGAATTGATGCTTTTGAACTGTGGTGTTGGAGAAGACTCTTAAGAGTCCCTTGGACTGCAAGGAGATCAAGCCAGTCAATCGTAAAGGAAGTCAGTCCTGAATATTCCTTGGAAGGACTGATGCTGAAGCTGAAACTCCAGCACTTTGGCCATGTGATGTGAAAAACTGACTCATTGGAAAAGACCCTGATGCTGGGAAATATTGAAGGCGGGAGAAGGGGACGACAGAGGATGAGATGGTTGGATGGGATCACTGACTCAACGGACATGAAATTGAGCAAACTCTGGGAGTTGGTGATGGATAGCGAAGCCTGGCGTGCTGCAGTCCATTGGGTCTCAAAGAGTTGGACATGACTGAATAACTGAACTGAACTGAAGCAGGTATTAGCTGTGGGACACATGGGACTTTTAGTTGTGGCATGTGGGATCATTTTCTTTAGTTGCAGCATGCAAACTCTTAGTTGCAGCATGTGGGATCTAGTTCCCTGACCAAGGCTCAAACCCAGGCCCCTGCATTGGGAGCATGGAATCTTCACCACTGGATCACCAGGTAAGTTTCTCAATGTTTAATTTGAACATAAGAGAACATTTAGCAAGACCTTGTTACATTTGCATGTGTGCTCAGTCATTCAGTAGTGTTTGGCTCTTTGCAACCCCATGCTAGGCTCCTCTGTCTATGGAATTTTCCAGGCAAGAATACAGAAGTGGGTATCTTCCTGACCCAGGGATCGAACCTGTGTCTCTTGTGTCTCCTGCACTGGCAGGATTCTTTACCACTGTGCCTCCTGGGAAGCCTGCTTTATCAAGGAGGCAAAAAACATAAAAACAGGTACAAATTTTATTATCAGGGACACGGCATAATATGTAGTAGAGCACATGCTTGTGTGCTTAGATGCTAAGTCATATCTGATTCTTTGTGACCCCACGGACTGTAGCACGCCAGGCTTCCCTGTCCTTCACTACCTCTAGGAGTTTGCTCAAACTCATGTCCATTGAGTTGGTGATGCTATCTAATCATCTCATTCTCTGCCACCCTATTCTCCTTTTGCCTTCAAACTTTCCCAGCATCAGGGTCCTTTCCAGTGAGTCGGCTCTTTGCATCAGATGGCTGAAGTAGTGGAGCTTCAGCTTCAGCAACAGTCTTTCCAATGAATATTCAGGGTTGATTTCCTTTAGGATTGACTAGTTTGATCTTCTTGCTGTCCAAGGGACTCTCAAGAGTCTTCACCAGCACCACAGTTCAAAAGCATCAATTCTTCAGCACTCAGCTTTCCTTCTGGTCCAGCTCTCACATTTGTACATGACTCCTGAAAAACCATAGCTTTGACAATGTGGACCTTTGTTGGCAAAGTGATATCTTGTCTCTGCTTTTTCCTTCCAAGGAGCAAGTGTCTTTGAATTTCATGGCTGCAGTCACTGTCTGCAGTGATTTGGGAGCCCAAGAAAATAAAATCTGTCACTGCTTCTGCTTTTTCACCTTCTATTTGCCATGAAGTCATAGGACCAGATGCCATGATCTTTGTTTTTTGAATGTTGAGTTTCAGTCTCACTTTTTCATTCTCCTCTTTCACCCTCATTAAGAGGCTCTTTAGTTCCTCTTCACTTTCTGCCATTAAAGCAGTATCATCTGCGTATCTGAGGTTGTTGATATTTCTTCCGGCAATATTGATACCAACCTGTGATTCATTCAGCCTGGAATTTTGCATGATGTACTCTGCATATAAGTTAAATAAGCAGGGTGACTATATACAGCCTTATCATACTTGTTTCCCAATTTTGGACCAGTCTAACTGTTGCTTCTTGACCTGCATACAGGTTTCTCAGGAGGCAGGTACAGTGATCTGGTACTCCCACACTGGCTATGTATAAACACAGAATAAGAGATCTGGGGGTCCCAATAGATATAAGACACTAATGAAAAAGGGAAGATGCAGAGGGTTATCTCTGATTATAACCTTAAGATTGAGTCCTCATTTTAGATTTTAATGATGTGTGTGTGTATGTACGCATGCATACATGCTCAGTTGTGTTGGACTCTGCAACCCCATGGACTGTAGCCCACCAGGCTCCTTTGTCCATGGGATTCCTCAGGCAAGAATACTGAAATGGGTGGCCATTTCCTTCTCCAGGGGACCTTCCAGACCCAGGGATCAAACCAGTGTTTCTGGCATCTCCTGCATTGGCAGGCAGATTCTTTACCACTAGTGCCACCAAATAAGTTATTTCACCAGCTTCTGTTTACTCGTCCCTATGCTTCCATCTTCCCAGGTAGTGGGAGTGCTTTCCAAACTAAAATAACTCAGTTACCTTCCCCCAACACCAAGGTGGAGTGTGAAAACCACATCCTCCAAACTTTCAAGCTGAAATATTTAGATGGATTGTACTTCACTCTGAAAGATGAACTGTTCATCCATCCAAGAAGTACTGATTTTACTCTGCTCATGGCACTGCCTCGGGTGCAGGAAGCACACGTCTGGCTGGGTGGATTGGACCCCAACCTTCATGGAGCTTGCAGTCTAGTAGGGATCAGAAGACAAGGGGACAGGTGAGGATAAAGAGACACATCACAGAGCCAGGAAGTTTGATGCAAAGTAGGAACTTCGATGTTTTGGACAATGGATCAGTCCTTCAGACCATATGGTCACTCTTTCATTTTTTTAAAAAACTTTTTACTTTACATTGGAGTAGAGCTGGTTAAAAATGTTATGATAGGGTCACTCTTTTTACTTGAAATAGTGTTAACTGCACCAAACACACTCCCTGAAGCAGGCATGAATGGTGTTTTGTTATCCACCACGCTCTCTGCCTTGGTAAGTCAGGCAAATTGGCCATGATTAAAATCCTCTACATTCAATACCACTCTGACCCAGATGAGTTTACTCTGTCTAGTTTGGGGTTCCATGTGTTAAAGTTACAAACCATTCAGAAACAAGATATACAAGGAATGGTAAAAATAATAAAATCATTAAGCTGATGGTAGGACGTTGCTGGTGTTTTAAATAATGGCCTTCAGAATTTCACATGGTAAATGACTGGTGTTAGGCTGCATTTCTCTGCATTTGAGTCTTAAAGTGTTTGAGATAGTCAGCTCCCCCAAACAAAAAAAGGTAAAATCATTAGCATTATTTCTAATATTATGTTGAGGCTGCAGTGAGACAAACACACAAACAGAACAGTGTGCAGTATCAGGATTGGGAACACAGTTAAGCCAAGAAGCCTAGATTCAAACTTCATGTTTAGTTTCTAAATTGTTTCCAAGTTACATTTTGCCAAGTTTGGATGTCAGGAGAAAGAAAAACAGGTCCCCCGAGGCCACACGCAGAGGAAGGACTGTAGACACAAACTGACTAACATTCTGCTTCCTGCTTTTGGTTTGATTTGATTCTTTGGGAAAAAACAAAGCAAAACAAAAACAGATATAAGAATTGCTATGTGTAGGCCAGCCCGATGCTAGCATATCTCAGCTTTGAAAAGCTTCTGGGATTTTTGTCTCTTTGTAATGATGTTTGCCGCTGTACTGAAGAAGAGGAACAGAACCCAGAGGTTGGTTTCCCTAGCTCCACAGCACCCCCGCCAAGGAAAGCACTCTCTCTTGAAAGTCAGTTATAACAATTAGGTATTTATTTTCTACCACGTGCCCGCCCCTGGGCAAGGTGCTTCTTAGAGGTTCCAGCCCTGCGAGGGGCTGGGTTAAGTGACACAGCCCAAACCAGGGCTCCAGTGGGGGCTCAAACCGTCTCATGCTCACCCCCAGGATGTGATCCGAGCCCTTTCAGAAACCTTCTGAGTGTTTCCCTTATAGGAAAATTGCTTCTCTCTCCAATTCCCATTCTTGTCAGTTCAGGGTTCCTTCGAGCCTCCTAATAACCATATATTTCATTTTCCACCCATCCGGACTCCTTGCTCCTCCCCGCTCGGCCCGGGGAGAACTCGTAAACGTCGTTGGTGACGAAGCCACTCTCCAAGCTCCCCAGCGTCACGAACCCGCTTTCAGACGGGTTCACGGCCACGTTTTCATAGTCACAAGACACGGCGTCGGGCGCGGCCTCTCCCGAGCGCGCCCGGAACGAGATGTTCTGTAGGTCCGGGCGGGTCTCGGCCAGATCAGCCTCGCTCTGCTTTCGTATGACGTTGTAAACCTCGAGGTCCGGGCTGTTCCCGGGCTGAGAAGCCGGCCAGGAGGGGCGCTGCTCCTTAGTGCTGGGGTCCGGCTGCCCCCGTTTCCTAGGAAGACAGAGAACCAGGGCTGAGCAGGCAAGGGGCCTGAGAATGTCCCCGGGCCCTGTCCAGGCAGGACAGGGTCATCCCTGCGCGGTCACTACGCTGCACTTCTCATCTGTGTCAGCCTTCAGGGCAGGGTTTCGGGTGTGGCAGGAATGAACGAGGCAAGTGTGCTATCTGCCATTCACAGTGGCCTGAGCACAGAGCAGAACTGGTGATCCCAGGGTCCCCAGAGCCCCCAGAGGGTCTATGGAGAGAACTGCATGGGGGGAAAAATGCCACATTAAAACAAATCCATCTCCAAGGGAAACTGTCCTTCAATTCTGAATGTGGGCAACCAAGCTGAGTAGAATTAGTAGTATCTTTGACTTGCTCACCAATGGAAATCATAGATATTTTCATATCACAGTTATTGTTTAAGATGCCTTAAAATATTTTATGCTCATTTCTGCTTCAATATTATGATAATTATATCTAAAGAAGCATTAATAAAGAAGCTCATGTATTACTGTTTCACATACATTTTTGGAAATATTTTGCTAGTATTTTTGTGTCTGAGGTGCAAAACGATTAAAACCGTGAGTTGACTCCAGCTTCAAAGTTACAATTCCCAGACTGGGGTGAGCTGCTCAATGGGTAGATAAGGAAGGGAAATCAAGAACCAAGCACAGAGTAAGCAGTTAGAAAACATATTAGCAGTTTTTTAAACTGAGTTCTGTTTTTTTGGCCGTGTGAACATTTTTAAAATTTAGATTTATTTATTTTTAATTGGAAGATAATTGCATGACAATATTGTGTTGGTTTCTGCCATATATCAACATGAATCAGTTACAGGTATACCTATGTCCCCTCCTTCCTGAGCCTCCCTACCACCTCCTGTGAACTGAATTCTGTCGATATTTTGGATTAAAAGGAATTAACTAAAAAAATGATTATAGGAAGAGATATTTTTGAGTGCTTATAATATACTCACTCTGCATGTATTAACTGCTTTAATTCTTATAATTCTATAAGGAGGTTATTATTTTTTTTGATCTTTTGGCCACGCTGCATGGCATGTGGGATCTTAGTTTCTTGACCAGGGATTGAACCCCTGTCCTCTGTACCAGCAGCACAGAATCTTACCTGCGGGGCCGCAGGGAAGCCCCTAAGGAATTATTATGAAATGAAATAGGTTCTACATTGAAATCTTGCTAGTTTATCTTAAATTGGCCATCAAAGGGAGTCAAGCCTTAAAATGTACCTTTGCTTTCCTGTTGTGAAGTGGCAATGCCACCTTCTTCTATATAGACCATGATGGGGAATAAAAAGGTAGCTGAGAAGAGCTCTGGGTACCTCCAAACTGGTGGCTCCATGATCCACTAACAGAGGTGCTCTAAGCTACTTAAGGTAGCTATTTTGTAGCCATCTATACTTGTGTATTCAAGTAAAAGTCAATTAAAAGGATTTGGCTATTTTATTTTGAATGAAGTGGTTTTACTTTCAGAGGTTTGCCAGGAGGCTTTGAAACAGTCATTTTCATGTGGCTCACTATTTATTCCTTTACTCACCCAAAAAACATTTCTGGAGTGAGAATGTACATGCATGAGAAAACTTTGCTGAGTGATGTGTGGATACACAGGTGAATAACGCAGTCTCACCCCTCAAGTCATTTAAAATCTTCCACACTAAAAAATTAAAGAATGTAAGATCACTCTGTTAATTACAACTGAGTACAAATGCTTAGTGCTTCTGAGTGCCCTGAACCCATCAGATTTATTCTCAAATCTGCAGAAGAGATTCTCTTGGAGCTGCCTTGCCTTTTAATGAAGTCCAAGTTCAGAAAACACAAAGGTTTACAAGATCAACGTTTTACTTGCCTCCTTCTACAGATCCAAACCCAACATACACCTGTGGTGACCACAAGGAGGAGGAGAATGCTGAAGATTAGGATGTAGGCAAGATTCAAGGCAGCTTCTGAAAAGAAAAGCGCAGATAAAATGTAGTTATGGATATGGTGTTTTTCTGAGTTCTATAAGTTGTTCTAGTGAATTACTGAATGTGACTCCCTGGAATTGCAGTCAGTGGATTAGAAGTGCAGGTGGCCTGGGGACCCCCGATCTTGTGGCTGATATCTGAAGCAAGGGCAGTCTGGGTGGGGGCTGAGCCCTTAACCGGTATGGTCTGTGTTAATTTGGGGTGGCTAGTGTCACGGCTGAATTGCAGTATTTCAATATCTTATTTCATTATATGGACATAGTGGATGCTCTTAGGTAGGTGAGAAAAATACTGTTACTTCTCTTATGTAAATAACTAAACTGAAAAATTAAGTGTTTGTTTTCTTAAAGTTACCCAGTGACAAAAACTCAGATCTTTCTCTTTTTTATTTTAATTGAAATAAAGTTGTCATACAGTATCATGTTAGTTTCAGATGTATCCTATATTGATTTGACATTTGCACACATTATTAAGTCTAGCTACCAGCCCAGATCTTCCTCTTGAAACTCAAGGTGACAGTTGAGGTTCAAAGTCCATCAGCACTCCAGTTTATCATCCCATTTTCTTTTATCTTCTATGTCCATTTCCTCTGTTTGTCTTGTAAAGAAATACTAATCATGGCCTGGGTCTTTCTGCTCTTATTTCTCAACATTCATTCTCAACTTCCACCCCCTCCCCCGACCCTGACCCAAACAACTTCTGGGAGGTTCTCAAGTCTCCCACTGTCTTCCTGAAGCCTTTTTACCTCCTGCCTCATCTAATTGCCCCAACTGTCTTATTTTACTGACCAAATCTAACATTTAATACAGTTTTTACAAAGCCACATGTGCCCTGTCTGTTTTCATTTTTAAGTAGCCGTGGGGAGAACAAGCAGGGTATGTAACCATGGGGATTTGTAATCAGGAGAGCCCCACTATCTGTTTTTCCCTCGGAGAGTTCTGTGTATACCTTTGCTTTCTTTCAGCGTTTCTGTGGCATCTTCTTTCTCTGTGTCTTCTGGAAGTACGGGTGTTGCTAGCTCTGTCTCTTCACCTGGAGAGAGACACATGCACTCAGAACCTGGAGAAAGGCATTAACATCCAGATATTCTCTGAGGTCCTACCAGCTTCGGGGGTGGGGGGGGGAGGTGTCAGAAAGCACTAGCAAAGTGACTAGTGTAGTTTATAATCACGGAAAGTGAAGAACTGAATTTGCTGACCGAGAGGTTTACTTTTCGTGATCTTTCTGGTATGACTCTTGCTGCCAAGAATCAAGTGGGAACACAACCAGCAGGCAGCTGACATCAAGGCCCATAAACTACTGCAGAACACAGGGGAAGGGCCAATGACTCACTCTTAGGACCACAATGATCAGTTTGACTCACTTGTCTCATTAGATTGAATTATTCCTTTCATATTGTCAATAAGGATAGGTAACATCACAAACTGATTTGTAATTGCTCATTTTCACATAGTTGAAAGGCAACCCTAGAGGGTGAGATGAATGAACCACGTGCCATGTCTCAGCGTGACTTATACCCATCCAAAGAGTCGGTGTCTTTCCATCGAATCATCTAGTCTAAAGAGCATGTGACTCTAAACCTATGGAGAGGTTCTAAACCTGTGAAACAGCCCAAATGAACTCAAATCTCCAATGACAGTCTTACCTCCAGTCCTTGTAGAAGGAACTGTTGGTTTCTCTGCAGCAGAAAGGAATAAGAATGAGAGTAATAGGTAAATCGCCACACCCTCTGAGTGAAGCTGGCCAGGGCACATCTTCCATCTAGTTGCTCATTCAATCGTCCAACAAACTTCATTTCATGCTATCAGACTCCAGAACCTGGTTAGTAAGTCCAAAGAATCCCTTCTGCACAAACACTAGCCTTTCCCCAGCTTTGCTTGGACACTTTTTAAAAAAAGCATTAAAACTTTTAAATATGAGAACTTTCAAATATACACAAAAGTGGAAAGATTGGTATAAGGAACCCCTATGGAGTGTCAATGCTTATCAACATATGGCTAATCTGGTTTCAACAATAATCCCTATTCCTCCCTGGCTAAACCCAGGTCTGAATATTCTATTCTATTCTATTCTATTAGACTGCACTGGGTCTTAGTTGTGGCATGTGGGATCTAGTTTCCCTGACCAGAGATCAAACCCAGGTCCTCTGCATTGGGAGCATGAAGTCTTAGCCATCGGACAACCAGGGAGGTCCCCTGAACTGTTTTAAAGCAATCCAAGACATTTTATCAGCTCCTACTGGGGATGTTTTAGAGCAATGAACACTGATCTCCAAGCAGAGGAGGTGGCTGGGGACTAAATAGAATATGGCCCACCCCAAAGCAGAGCTGTGATCTAGAACCTGAGCTATTTAAAATAATTCTAAGAGCCTCAGGATAGTCAGGCTCCACAGACAACCTACAGTAATGTTTTTACTTCTGGCACAAATTGTATCAGTCTTTTATACTGGCAGTGACTCTTATGCTGATCAGATACTCTGGGATCATAGAGTCAGAGTCTTTAAGGTCAAAATTTTAGAATTCATAGTCCTAAGGCTGCGATGGGCTTCCCTGGTGGCTAAGATGGTAAAGAATCTGCCTGCAATGCAGGCAACCTCGGTTCGATCCTTGGGTTGGGAAGATCCCCTGGAGAAGGAAATGGCAACCCACTCCAGTATTCTTGCCTGGAGAATCTCATGGACAGAGGAGCCTGGTGGGTTACAGTCTGTGGGGTCACAAAGAGTGAGGCATGACTGAGCGAATAACATGCACACAAAAGGCCAAGATGTCAAAGCTATTCTGAGGTTTTATTAAGAAGGGAAATTTTAATCATATGTGTGTGTGTGTGTGGGTGTGTGTGTGTAGAAGTGATGCAAATCCATTTATTTATTAAAAATGTCTGCTATATGATAGAAACATTCTTATGTTCTAAATGTTTTTTATAAAAACAAACACAATTTATCCTGATAACAGCCTTGTGAGTAAGTGCTATTCTGAATTTGTTCACAAGGAGACTCAGGTACAGGGAAATTAAGCAACCTACTCAAATCTCACAGCTAATAAGTAGTTGAACTGGGATTTGAACTTAAAATATTCAAATGAAAATTTCAGATCACAAGGAGACAAACCCCATGCTAGATATTAGAGATACACTAGCAAATCAAAAGCTGTCCCAGCTCTGTAATGAACTGACACTCTATGAGATGGCAATAAAATATAGAATTATAGGGGAATATTCATACATATTAATTTTGTGATATTATATTACAATACATCATATATTCAATGACATTACAGAAAAAGATGCAGTCATTTTGTTGTCCTTCTATAGTTCAATCCACTGGGCAAAATTGCCATGAACACAGCAAATTAATGCAGCATTTCCATCAACAATGCAATGCAATGGTCTGTGACATTGCCTCAGATGATTTGTCTCTGATTTCCACTGAATGTGTCTATGCTTTTAGCCCACCATGGAAGGAATCAAGTGTTCAGATCTGGCTGGTATGCCACCTACTCTATGTGGTCATATTGTCAAATTTCATTTTAGATGCTGTCTTTCAACTGGTCGCTTGCCCTCTGGTATAGTGGGATATTTTGCCATAATGTTGGAGCCATACTGGGTGACCTTCCCCTAATTCATGAAGTGTAGGGTCAAATGTGTATTTCCAGACTTTATGCCAACCATATAGTGAAGTGGACAAACTTGTCAACAGGCAGTATTTGTACTGTGTGTGTGAGGTGTTATGATCCTCATAGGAGGAACACTTAACCTAGTTTTGAGGTTAAGCCCTGGAATGCTTCCCAGAGGAAGTGATTTTTTTAAAACTTATTTGGAAATAATTTAAAATTTATGAAAATTTGCAAGACTACTGCAAAGAATTCCCATGTATCCTTCACCCAAAAGTTATCATTTTATCACATTTCATTTATATAACTATTCTCTCTGTCTCTTTATATATATCTCTATATATCTATGTATCTATATCTAAGTCTCTCTATATACACAGACACACATATATTTACATACATTCACACACAGACACATGCATAACTTTTTTCCGGAGAATAAGCTGTAGCCATAGTTACTCTTTATTCCCTAAACACCTCAAAGTGTATTTAAAACAGGACTGGGAGGGGCATACTCTGTCATAACCATAGTACAATTATCGAAACCAAAATATCAACATTGATATGTATAGTATCATCCAATCTACAGATCTTATTTAAGTTATGCCAATTGTCCTAAAAATGCCCTTTACAGAAAATTACTATTGTCATCATCAAAGGTACAATCCAGGACCATCTATTGTTATGAGAGAAGGTGATGCTTAACCTGAACCTGAAGGTTGAGAATGAGTTGACTGGGAAAGAGGGAAGGATGTTCCAAGCACTGCAAACAGCAGTTAAGAGATGATGGGGAACTTCACAAAACACAGAAGGGAACTGGCTGGGGGATGGAATAAAAGTGGTGCGAACTGGGGCTGCAGAGAGGCAAGGGTCTGATCAAGCCAGTCCCTTCGCGGTGTGCTGAGGTCCGTGAACTTGTCCTGAGAAGGAGGGGGTGGTCTGCAGCGAGGCAGTGTGTTAGCCTTCTTCCGTGTGCCCACATCCCCCGCTCAGTCTATTCCTGGTCCTTCTCTGTGTCCTGGGAGGCTGACCTCTGGGGATGTGTCCTGGGCTCCCTTGTCCTCTGGTTCTCGACTGGACTTAACACACAATAGGAGGCAGAAGCAGGAGATTAGAGGGTAGGAGAAGAGGCAGGTCCTAGTATTCTTCCCCAGACCTCTCTCTCACATCGTGGTGGTTTGAGAGCACTGTATTGTCTGGTTACAGCTCCTGTTGGCTGGCTCCTCTTGCATGACTCCGAGATTTCTCTGGGTTCTGCTAAAACCATCCCCTCCCTTCGCTCCTTGAAGCCTAGGGGTAGTAATAGCTTCCCACTGTAGCTGGTCCCTGGGCACTTCACCATCTCATGTTCTGTGTCCACACTTTGGTAAATAAATACCATTTTATTATACTCCGCTCATTAAACCCTTTGAATGTGCCATCTTTTCCCTGCCAGGACTCAGTCTAATACACGCAACAGCACAATTAATAAACAAAATTACTTTTTAAAAAACTAACTGATTCTAACCCCAAAATAAAAGGCTATGAAAACAAGTGCCAAAATCTCACATTTCAAAAAATGTTTAAGGTACAAAATTTTATATCCTGATGATAATAGGATATAATGAACAAAAGTGATGGGGAGCCAGTTTGTCATAAGTGCCTTGCTTTAATTGCTCCAAAAAAGGGCCTTGCCAAGTCAGCCTCGATCCTTGCAATCTCCCTGCCTGAGACAACTCTGTGGTGGGGAAGACCAGATCTCTGGAGAGAAGAATTCGTCTGATGGGGTGAAGAGGGAGGAAAAACAACTTTGGCAGCAAAGGCACAGTCGAGCTCCAACAATTTTGAAATGACAGGATTGTTTAGTCCCCAACTAGATGTAACTAACAAGTCATTCTACTCCTGTCAGGAAAAGATGCAGAACTGAGATCAAGCAGTTGGCTTCAGGGTGGTGAAAAACTTCACTAACAGATCAAGAATCACTTCATGTTTAGGTTCCAGTCCATCATAATGGAGAAATTTGGGAAACCCCAGCACAGTGAGATTACAGGCTTGTAGCCAATTCAAAACCCTTAATAGATCTAGAAGAAAAAGCTAGCTAAGTTTGCAAGGCATATATATAGAGGGTGGCCTAAGGAGTTTAAGCCTGCTCATCAAAGTGACTGCTATCTGCTCAGTGTCAGTAAAATTAGCATATTTTATCATCTACCTCCTGTGGTCATTATCCTGTCTCCTTAAGGCCCCAGAAAATGGCTGGCAGAAGACATGCAAGAAAAATGGCCAGCTTCCGTTCACATTTCTTCCTTATTCCAAGCTCCTACAGTGTACAACCTCACGTACGGAGGGAATAAGAATTTAACTGTCCACCTGGAAGGCTTTTTATTCCTTGAAGTTCTCATAATTCTTGCCTTATCATCCATAAATTAGACCCTTCCATTCCTTCATGTCTTAGCATCTAATACCCTCTCCTTTGCTAGAATTACTCCTCAGCAAGGAGGAATCAGGACATCTCCCCTTACAAGGATTCCCAAAGTTTAACACTGCTGGCATGTGCAGCAAGCTTTCTCAGAGACTAGGTGACAAATTCTTGGAACCAGCAGCTGATTAGGAAAGGAGAGAGGAGGCTGAGAGTGCAGTCACATAACTTGGGAGAGGATTCATTACCATCAGAATATTTGCAGATGAAATTGTTCTTCATGGTACATCGGTCGTCATTCCACTGGAACATGTAAGGGCCCCCGATGCCGGCGGGGGCCGACGGCTGATGGTACATGACCACGCAGACCTCGCTGCCGCAGGAAGGCTCATCCACATACCAGTTCCTGTAGGAAAGGGGTCAACAGTGGAGGCAGCTGGAGAAGGATCCCGCAAGACTTTAAAGCCTTTGCTTTCCTCTCAAGTTCCATGGAGCCAGGAACTTAAGAGAGAGTGAGGAATTGAAGTGCGGCCAATAAGGAGAACCATGCTTTCGAATATGGACATCACAATCAATCATCTGACATTTGCCACAGCCTCTTTGCAGGGAGGAATATATTACCATATGATGTCTGCAAAGTTATTATGAGAAAAAGCAGCCAACAGGGCCAGTCTGGACAATCTTATTATTTTTTTTGCTTTTGGCTAACTGGGTTTTGTTTCTCTTTGTTAAGAAATCAGACACACTGGGAGAGGCATGGCTTATTGCATCCAGAGCTTGCCCTGCTTCCATCTCCCCATGCTTTTCAGTAGCCACTGCTGCCTTCTGAACTCTGAGGAGTGGAGAGAATATTCAAGCATCTGAGGCTTCAAAGTAGGAGACAGAGTTCAGGAAAAAGCAGGAGGCCCAGCTAGTCTTTTTCAGTTTTTAAGTTGTTTCTAGCTCATCAGGCTGATGAGACCTTTTGTTAGCTTCCGCTTCTGCAGCCCCAGTGGTACTTGGAATTAAATGGTGCTGCTGCCCAGATAGATCTGTGGGTGCCAGGTTAAAGCCTTGGATTCTGTAGGTAGTTTCGATGCTATGAGCACCTAGGCCACGTACTGACTCAGGCCTGGGCTTTGTACTCTGCGTGGTTACTCACCCAAGCAGGTTGCTTCCAGGGCCATCTCTGCGCTGATGCTCAGACTGTTTAGATGAGCCCTGCAGCTCTGCCTAGAGCTTGTCACAGCCCCTCCTTATGGAAAGCTAAGAGACAGCTCTCCGTGTACTACCCCAGGAGAGCTCTGCTTGAGTCTGGTGCTGCAGTTCACCAGAAGGAAAGTCCTCTGCTGAACTCATTGGGTTGAATTTGCCTGGATGATAGCTGAGCTTGCAGCGCTGCTTGAACATTGGTCAGCTGGGGTTCCTGACGGGGGCTGGGCCCTGCACCTCACTAGTCACCTCCAGGCAATTTTCCAACCTTGTTGATGGGCCTCCCACTTGTCTGTTCTCCTCCCCACTGGCGTTTTGGCTTTATGTTATTTCACAGATAATGGAATGGATGGAATATGATGCCTGGCATCCAGTTTCTGGACTTGAGCCAGCTTGCAGGCTTGGAACTCACTGCTAGAAAGAGGAAGGACCCTGAGACACCCCAGTAGGTGCACATGCTGTGTGCATGTGAGCTCAGTTGCCTCAGTCATGTCCGACTCTTGACCCTCTGGACGGTAGCCCACCAGGCTCCTCTGTCCATGGGACTCTCCAGGCAAGAATGCTGGAGTGGGTTGCAGTGGGTTGCCGTGACCTCCTCCAGGGGATCTTCCCAACCCAGGGATTGAATCTGAGTCTCTTATATTTCCTACACTGGCAGGTGGGTTCTTTACCACTAGTACCACCTGGGAAGCCCCAGGTGCACATGGTATTTTTCCTTTATTCTCCCCAAGGGACCTATGGCCATATATTTGAGGAATCACACTTTGGGGGAAGAGGAATACCCTGATATTACAAAGGCTGTTGGACAGAGCGTGCAAGTTAACATTGCTACCCAAAGTTGTGAAGCGTCATTAAGGTTACCCATTTGAGTGGGAGCATATTGAGGCCAAGTATTTTTTTTTTTTTTTTGAGGCCAAGTATTAAATGGAGTTCTGGCTCAGGACTGAGGTAGGAGATAGATGGGCCCTCAGGCTGAACAGCTGGTGTTTGTCAAGCAAAGTTGTGTTTGCTTGAGGCTATGTTCTCACCCAGACACTCCAAGCACAAAGCTAGTGGCAGAAGCTTCGCTCTGCTGGAATAAAGAGATAAGATGACCACTCTTGGTCAAGGAAAAGTTCCCTGTCTGCCCATGGAATGCTCATTGGGGGTGGGGTGGTCAAAAAGGGAGGGGGTCCATAATAAGTAGGTGCATGCACCTACAGGCATCTGTGGTAAGATCCATCTTAACAAAAAGTTGTGCATGCATCTTGGGGAGGGTCCCAGGACCTGTCAGGTGTGAAAAAAGAAACAAGATAACTGGCCAAAGGTAAATGAAGCCCCAGAAGGATTATCCTATATCAGTGATTTAAATCACCTCTTTACTTCACCCCTCCTCATTAGAGAGGACTCCCATACTCTTTCTCTCTGGGTGTGTATTTCTGCCTAGCTGCTGACTTAAATAAACAAATTGCTTCTCTGTGTGTTTACCCACGCTTCCGCGGTGGCTCAGTGGTAAAGAATCTGCCTGCAAGGCAGGTGATGTAGGAGATGTGGGTTGAATCCCTGGGTCAGGAAGATCCCCTGGAGGAGGAAACGGCACACCACTCCAATATCCTTGCCTGAAGAATGCCATGGACAGAGGAGCCTGGTGATCTACAGTCCACAGGGTCACGAAGAGTAGGACACGACTGAGCATGCACCCATGTGCTCTCCCACATGTTACGCTGTGTTTCTAATAATAAACTTTGTACCTGTTTTTATGTTTTTGCCTCTGTGAGAAATGTATTTTTCAATGGGTCAGGGGAACTTTGCTTTTAGCCTCTAATCCCTGGTGGACTAGTGGCTAGGATTCCTGGTTTCTATCCAGGCTACGCAGGTCCTATTCCTGGGTAGAGAACTAAGATCTCTCTTCAGGACTGCTCAGTGCTGTCTCTCTGAGATAAGGATCAGCTCACAGTGGGACCCATCCAGTGGTCATTCTCCAGTCTCAAAATATATGAATTGAAAACTTATGGGGTAAGAGTTATAAACAGTGGAGAAGCTCAAGGGGCAGCCTTGAAAACTGCATTCTTCCCTGTCCTCAAGAGAGTAAACAGAAAACAATACCTTACCTAGGCAAACATGACAGAAGGTAGTGCCGCCTCCAAAGACCTAGGAAATGCCAGGATGGTATTCCCCATCACATCTCTGTGTAATCACTAGTCTGGCCCCTGCCCCTGGCCCCAGGCAGGTTCTGAAGCATGAGACTGAAGTAGCACAGACTCAGCCAAGTAGAAGCCCCCTTGTAGCTGCTGTGGCATATGTGACATCTTTGCTAGAGCTGGTTAACACATCCTTGAGTACCTAGTATGAAGATTGCATCTTTGCTAGAGCTGGTTAACACATCCTTGAGTACCTAGTATGAAGATTTGGTGAGTACATTCTTCTTCATCTGTATCCGAAAGAGAATTAGAAACAGTCTGCCTTCATTTGGAATGGACATCAGTGTGTATTTATGGTCTTGCCCCAGGACTATACTACTTTTCCTACCCTCTGTCATAATAAGACATGAAGAGAGACTTCCTGGACATTTTGCAGAAAACGACTTTGGTCCACCATACTGTTGAAAGTCCTACTCTTTGTGACCTCATGGACTATACAGTCCATGGAATTCTCCAGGCCAGAATACTGGAGGGGGTAGCTTTTCCTTCTCCAGGGGATCTTCCCAACCCAGGGATTGAACCCAGGTCTCCCACATTGCAGACATATTCTTTATCAGCTGAGCCACAAGGGAAACCCAAGAGTACTGGAGTATATAGCCTATCCCTTCTCCAGGGGATCTTCCTGACCCAGGAATTGAACCGGGGTCTCCTGCATTGCAGATTGATTCTTTACCAACTTCCCAATGAGGGAAGGCCCAAGGTTGGAGATAAATGCTATGAAGATCTAGGGGCCTGCTACTTCATGAAAATGTGTAGGTGCTTTGTAGTCTAGGGGACACCACAACACCTCTTTCAAGTTACTGGTTAAATTATTTCATCTCAAAATAATTGGAAGCATCTTGCAAGAAGGAAGAAAGAAGGAAGCCTAGCATGTGGTAGGTCCCTTTGGGCTGTAGAGGTGGCATATTTCATACCTGGGAATACTGTTCTGGTCTATATACCTGTTGACATGAAAGACAGCTGTGTTTGAGTGGGGTCCAGAGCCAAAAAGGACTCTGAAGCAGTTCTAGGCTGTGATGGAAGCAGACTTCCCACTTGGGTCATATGATCCATCAGACCCCCTGTTGTTAGAGGCATCGGTGGTGAGAAAAACAATGCCATGGGGCATCCATGCAAGCTCCAATGAGAGAATCACAATGCAAACCCTTAAGATTCTGTAGCAAGGCCATATCACCTGTAACTGAGAAGAAAACCACCTTTTGCAAGCAACTCTGGCTTACTACTAGGCAAGGAGTACCAAGAGACCATACAATCCAACTTGCTCAGTGAGAGTGAGATACTGTCAGACGTACATAGTCAAAAGATTAGGCAGGAATCAACTCATTATAAGATGGAAGAGGTATATTTAGGACCAATGGGCATGTACAAATGGAGCAGACCACTGTGACATCTTCCTCTATTGTACCAGCCTATCCCTCAGCTTATACCTATAGCTGCTTAAAGGAATCCCTTACGACCAGCTGGTAAAGGTAGCCTAAGCTTGGTTAGGTCAGCCAAACATGGGGGGACAGCTCCACTCAGAGGCTTTGAAAGGTCTAGTGGCAAAGAGACAACCTCCCAATGGCCAGAGCTTTGTCGGTGTACCTTCTTAACCACTTGGTGTGGAAAGAGAAGTTATTGGACATTAGACTAAGGCAAAGAGCTTGGTCAGCTGATCGGGAGTCTAAAAGGAGAAAGAGTGGGAGGCTGAGGACAAGGAGCTCTTGGATAGAGTGATGTGAACAGACATATGGGAGGAGGTATAAAGCATGAAAACCGACCATATGTTAAAGCCCAGCAAAAAGCCTCTAGCACAGAAGAGGCACTGATTAACCAGGGAGACAGAACAGCTCAACCTGTGAGCAGCTGCCCCCGTGATGATGTAACAGGCGTATGCTAGAGTGGCCGTGAGGCGGGAGCGAGGCCATGCGCGGGCTCAGCAGTAGCTGTTCCCACCAACCAAGGCTGATCCAGCTGCTGCCAGGAACAGAGACGGGCCTAACACGTGGTGGCAACTAGACCCCGCTGGACTCCTTTCATCCTGGAAGGGGCGATGATTCACGTGGATAGGAATAGATAACCTGGCCATTGGTTTGTCTTTCCTACCTCAGGGACTTAGCATCACTATCCAAACACTTACACAGTCTTTGATCTACCAGCTCAGGATTCTAAATAAGGTCTAATCAGACCAAAAAACCAAGTTTCTAGCAAAGGAGATGTGGGAGTAAGCAGGGGATTTACTAGCCGGACCACATACTTCTCTCTCCTAAAGCTGCCAGTCTGACAGAATGAGGAATGATCTTGTTGAAAACACAACCAAAGCACTAACTGAGTGGCGATACTTGTGAGGAGGGGGCAACATCCTCCCAGAAGCAGTGCAGACTTTGAATCATCGACCTTTGTGTCATCCTGTATCATGCAAGAGTATTCTGGGGTCTGGAAGCCAAGGGGTGTAGAAGAAAAATTTGAAGCTAACAGAGGTTGGTTCATGAAGTTAAGGAAAGAAACTGTCTCCATAACATAAAAGTGCATGGTGAAGCAGTAGACGCTGATTAGAAGCTGAAGCAAGTTATTCAGAAGATCTAGCTAAAGATAACTCACAAAGGTGGCCTCACTAAACAACAGATTTTCAATGTAGAATAAATAGCCTTTTAATGGAAGATACCATCTAGGAGTTTCCTAGTTTAGAGAGGAGAAGTCAACCTTCAGCTTCAAAGCTTCAAAGAGCAGGATGACTGGAAGGGATGTATGCGTGCGTATCTGCTCAGGCTCCTCTGTCCGTGGAGTTTTCTAGGCAAGAATACTGGAGTGGGTTCCCATTTTCTACAACCCAGGGATCGAACCTGAATCTCTTGCATCTCCTGCACTGGCAGGCAGATTCTTTACTGCTGATGCCACCTAGGAAGCCTGATATATGTCCACTTACAGCTGATTCACTTCGTTGTGCAGTAGAAGCTAACACAACACTGTAAAGCAATTTTAGTCCAATAAAAAAGATTTTTTAAAGAAGTTGACACAGGGAATTTGCTGCGTGGCTCAGGAAACTCAAACAGGGGCTCTGTATCAACCTAGAGGGATGGGCTGGGGAGGGAGGTGGGAGGGAGGTTCAAAAGGGAGGAGATATATGTACACCTATGGCTGATTCATGTTGAGATTTGACAGAAAAGAGCAAAATCCTGTAAAGCAATTATCCTTCAATAAAAAATAAATAATAATAATAAAAAAAGCTGACACAGCCGGTGACTTTAAGTTGAAGCTAGTTTTCATCGATCATTTTGAAAATTCTAGGGCCCTTAAGAAATACGCTAAATCTACTTGGCCTTTGCTGTATAAATGGGACAACACAGCTGGATGACAGCACAACTGCTCACAGCATGATTTACTGAATATTTTAAGCTCCCTGTTGAGACCTACTATCAGAAAAATGATTCCTTTCCAAATATTACTGCTCCTTGACGATGCACCTAGTCACCCAAGCGCTCTGATGGAGATGTACAATGAGATTATTGTCATTTTCATGCCTGGTAACTACATCCATTCTGCAGTCCATGGATAAGGAAGTAATTTTGATGTTCAAGCTTTATTCTTTAAGAAATACATTTATCAAGGCTACAGCTTGCAAAAGGAGGAGAACCCTTGCTAACCATCCCTGGCAGTACCCACTTGGGGAATTTGTGCTTCTTGTCTCTGCAGTGTTGAGGCCTGTGAGTTTAGAGGGCCTGCCACCCAAAGGAGAAATCCTTCCACCAGAAGATACACCATGAATGTTGTTGAACCAATGCCTGCCACTTGAACACCAAGGGATCCTTGTGTTCAGGAACCAGCAGGCAAGAGGAGAAGTAATTGTCTTTGCAGGAGGTACTGACCCTAATCATGAGGTGAAGGTATCTCTGCTGTTATAGGCAGGGGGATATGTTTGGCACTCAGGTATCTACTTGGGTACTTGTTGGTACTCATGTGCTCCATTTTGATGGTAAATAGAAAAGTGAAATCACTCCAGACTGAGAAATTCAAGTTGACTAGGGCTTCACGCTCCTCAGGGATAAGGGTCTGGGTCTTGCCACAAGGTAAGCAAGCCACTGAGGCTCCCCAAGAAGAGGGGAGGGAAGCCTCGACAGGACGGAGGAGGTGAGGGGGGCTCAGTAAGTATAAGTCATGGCTCTGGCGACCAGCTGCAGTGGTGGAGAGGGTAGTTCCTCCTGCTAATCTTCTTTTTTAAAATTTCTCCCAGGAGTATTTCCCTGGCAGCCCAGTGGTGAAGAATCATGCCTTCCAATGCAGGGGACACAGGTTTGATCCCTGGTTGGGGAACTAAGATCCCACATGCCACGGGCAACTAAGCTTGTCCCTGGCAACTGGAGAGCCTGTGTGCCACAAGTAGAGAAGCCTGAGCGCCACAGTGAAGACCCACAGCAGACAAAAAAAAAGTTTCTCCTGGGAAGAGAGGCCCATGAGAATCTTGGAGGAGACACTCCTGGAGCTTAAACGAAGGTGTGGATCAGAATAGCCAAATGGGTGGGCTTCGATAAATGCCGACACGCTGTCTTAAATGGAGTAGGTAAAAAGAGATATATTCTTATCTTCATTCTTTTGATTGAAACTGAGTTTAAACTTTTTCCCCATATGATGGTTTACCAGTTAGAGTGTCTATTTTGTGAACTGTTTGCTCAGGTCTTTTGCTCAGGGGTTTTATTGACATTTAAACATTTAGTGTTTCACTGACTTATATATACTATTTACTGTAAAAAGACAGTAACTGTTAAATTTGTTACAGCACATTTCTGGTCTTAAGTCTGCCTTTTAATTTTGATATTTGTTGACATTTTTCCATGTCACTGCTCTCCTCAGGGAAGGATGATGGCAGTGCTATGGTGCTAGGGCGAGTATGTGAAGTGAGTGCAATACTGGAGGTTTAGAAGCGTTCTGCAAACAGCAGGCTTCTTTGTGTCCCTTCTTGGCCATGCCAGAGAGTTAGATCAGGCTCTAATTTCTTGCCTGTCATCATAATTCCGGAGATGGCAATGGCAACCCACTCCAGTACTCTTCTTGCCTGGAAAATCCCATGGACGGAGGAGCCTGGGGGGCTGCAGTCCATGGGGTCGCGAAGAGTCGGACACAACTGAGTGACTTCACTTTCACTTTTCCCTTTCATGCATTAGAGAAGGAAACGACAACCCACTCCAGTGTTCTTGCCTGGAGAATCCCAGGGATGGGGGAGGCTGGTGGGCTGCCGTCTATGGGGTCGCACAGAGTCGGACATGACTGAAGCGACTTAGCAGCAGCAGCAGCATAATTCCTTGTTGTCTAAAGCCCTTCAGCCCCCTAGCCCTTTAGTCTCTCACTGGGCCTGCAAGCCCACTCCTGGGCATATACTCAGAGAAAACCATAATTCAGAAGTATACACGCACCCCAGTGTTCACCGCAGCAGAGTTTACAGTAGCCAAGACGTGGAGCAGCCTAAACGTCCATCAACAGAGGAATGCATAAAAGATGTGGTACATATATGCAATGGAATATTACTCAGCCACAAAAAGAACAAAATAATGTCACCTGCAGCAACATGGGAACGCAGAGATTGTCACACTGAGTGAAGTCAGACAGAGAGAGACAAATATCATATGATATTTATATGTGGAATCTAAAAAAAATGGTACAAATGGACTTATTTACAAAATATAAATAGAGTCACAGATGTAGAAAACACACTTATGGTTACCAAGGTGTAAGAGGGTGGAGGGAGGGATAAATTGGGAGGTTAGGACTGACATATATACACGACTATATATAAAATAGATAACTAACAAGGACCTACAGCATAGCACAGGGAATCTACTCGGTACTCTGTTATGGCTTATAAGGGAAAGGTCCTAAAAAAGGGTGGATATATGTATATGTATAACTGACTCACTTTGCTGTACATTTGAAACTAACACAATGGAAATCAACTATACTCTAATAAAAATTAAACAATCTCTCATTAGGGTTCTAGTCCAAAAGGCCAGGGAGCCAGAACCGCTGACATCATGCGTTGTGTGCTATTGAAGCAGTGCGTCTGGGCCACCCTCCTGGGCCGAGCTCTCTGGACATGAGCTGGGCCCAAGGTAAGGCTGATTTGTCACCCTTGCCACGCTGCTTCGGTCCGTGGCTGTGCCAGTGCTGCAATCCCCTTGGGGCTCTGCCCAGCTGGGCTTCTCTTCCACCCTGACTGGCACCGGGGAGCTAGCCTGCCTCTTTCTTGAGCTATGTCAAGTGAGTTAGCCACTGTGAGTTCCGCACACTTACCTAAACGCTGCTTTGCTTCCATCGATCCAGGCATAAAGGTCCTGGCAGGCTGTGCCATTGCTTTGCTTGTCCTCACGCCTCCTGAGTCCAATCCAGAAATCGCCGTCAGAAGCCAGGAGGTTTTCAATGAACTTTTCTATCAGTCTCTGTTCATCTTCAGACTCAATGCTGACTAACTGGCCCCCTTTCCTCCTGCAGGCTGCTCTGGCTTCCTCAAAGTTCAGTCTTTGA